GTCTGGACATGTCCATGGCGCTGTTTCTGCCTCTAACACATCCGTTTGACAGTGTTTTCGCAGAGAACACCCGCGCAATTTACGACGCATAGCTGATAAAGAGTCTACTTCGGCAGGACGTTCGGCGTCTTTTATAGACCTTTTCGAGGTACTGGTTTGTGCTGACCGCTTGGCTACAAGCGTGTTGGTGCTAATCTGAAATTTTGGCAAGCCGTCCTAGGATGGCAAAAAGTTTCCTAAGCAAAAGGGGCTGGCTTGGACATTTTGCTTTTCCTTCATTCATGAGAAATGATCATCAATCCTTCAGGCAATATTGCTTTTCCTTCTTTCACGGAAAATTGTTGCGATATTCCGTAGAGTGATTGTCTTTGTGAGAAAGGCCAATTGGCTGCGAACGTCAACCTCCCTGGGATGCGCCATGCACATGACCTTTACTCTGGGGACGCGTGGATGCGCACTCGGCTTGAAGTGGAACCAGCAAAGTTTGACGATTACAAGGCCACTGCCTCCTCTTTCATTCAGGTGTGCTTGTGCTTTTTGTAGCCGACAGACCTTCAACAATTCGTGAAAGATAGCGGCTTGGAGCTCGAATTGTCCCAAAATACGACGCCAGTCCAATAAGGCTATTGCTGGCGATAAACTCGGATGAATTCCATCCCGTTCTCGAGCAGATCAGGGGAGGATAAGCCATGAATGAGTCCAGCCCCATGCATTCAGAAGGATTACACTTCGACAAGGTGTGTAAGGCCATCTGTCCGAATTCGATTGCGCAGCTTACGCTTATTGGCCCCAACGGCGCTTTGGTTAAGCGTCTTCTGATTAAGCCCGGAAATAAGTTGTCCTTGTCCAACAGGATTGAGCACAGGTGCATTCTTCTCACTAGCGACCAAAACAATGACTTACTTGGAGCAAAGGCATCAATGCTATAAAGGACATGTTGAACTGAACGAGTTTCAGCGATGAACGCGATATGAACGCACCCGTTTGATACATCACCTACAATATGGAATTTTTGCTACATTGTATTACATAAACAATGTTCTTGTGTAGGGCTAAATGCCACTCTGAAAGATAGTGTCGAAAAGTGTACCTGATACCATCGATACTGGCTTGCAGGACTGGTACCGTAACCATGAGCACAATCGAATACGGTAAGCTCAAGCTGAAGCACAGATAAATAGGATAGAAAGTGAAAGTAGAGGATATTTTGAAAAAAGGAGACTGGGTACTTGGCATAGCCGATGGAGCAAGCATTCTGTTCAGAAGAAGCCTCTGTCATTTTCAACCCATTCGTGACAATGGCAGCCACCGGTGGCTGCCAAAGATCTCACTCGGGCAATGGTATCCACCGGTGGCTGCCGTGTTTCAAATGGAATTTGGAAAGTTTTCTTTCCTGAAAAGAATCTTCATACCCTCATTCATCTACGCCAGCCCTGGGCAGGGGAAATCTCCATCCACTCAAATTTTATTGAAGAAAAATCTCCTGACTCCTGCTATTGCGCAATCCCGCGCGGTCGCGAATGGGTTAATATAAGAGGAACCCCGTCGAATCTGATGCTTGGAAAAAAAGATTATGCAGACTTTATCAACTCACTAATCCCTGATTAATGAGATATTCGGCAACGTAGACGAGAAACATTGGCACCATATACTTGAGCAAGCTCTGAAAAATAACAACATTTGAATCAAGTAATTTACTCGTAACGAATTTGCAGCGTTCTACTTTTGTCGAACTCGGGCTTCCCTTTAGTTGCAATAACCGTTGGATGGGCTTTTAAGGAAACTTCTGCAACATACCTTGACCACTTTCAATTGTTCCACTAGGCCGGGCTGAGCATTGGATTGCACACTGGCGACATCTGTGGCACTCGGTGGAGCCTTGATCTCAGATTGGCTGCAAAAAAAACATAAGCTTACAACCGCTGATAGCCAATCATTATCTTGTTCCTGTATCTGTTCTATGAAGTGGAAGGAGAGCAAAGAACGAAATAGGGCCTCCAACTCATACACTGCTTTCTGCGGCCCGGAATGTTGTATGTGTAGGTATGACCCATGACCCTACCTCTTAGTATTTTCAATATCTTTTATTATTTGTTTAATTGATTCCATTGTCTGACTTGTTTCTCTTTCTGCAACATGCATAGCATCTGAGGTATCAAGAGCGTAGAGACATCGACTTTTTCGAGGCTATAACCTTGTAGGGTATGGAGACTGTAGCTACGGCAGCTCCTTCCCCGTCAGACAGAAGAACATCTTTGCCCGGCCTTCTGATCACAACACGCATAAGTGGGACTACAGCAGCGCCAATACGGCTCCTAGCAAGATCCACTACACCTTTGAGTCTGATGAGTACTCAAAAAAGTGATTTCCGGCAAGAGGTCAATCCACTGCGCATCGTAAAGGATTGGTTACTTTTGATAAAATTCAGCATATTTTTTGTTCTATTAGTTTACCTGCTCATAAACCACTCGCTCGGCCGAACAACACTGATTTTTCGGACAGAAGGCGCCCGTACGAGAACGACGTAGTATCTGAAAAGAAAGTTATTCACGGTTGCATTTTTTCCTCGAATCTTCCAGTTAATAACCAGCGAGCCCCTTCAGGACGTCTCCACTTTCTTGAACGAATTCGCATAAGCGCTTTACACCCGAAGGGCGCACGGGCCTCTGTTTCTCTCTTTTCCTGTAAATGCTCAGCGTCTTCCACTATGCTCCCTTTCACTTTTAAAGTGAGCACATCGAGGAGGAGTGCGCATGCACATAAAAGGTGTCTTTTACAGTAAAAAGCCTCATCATAAGCACGATCACTTAGAATGATATTTCAACACTAATTTTGACTCTAGTTTTATTAGCTTGGGCTATTCCAAGTGACGGCTAACCCTGAGTGCCATAACGGTTGACATATTACGCTTGAACATACCTTAAGACTGGGCCAACTAGGTGAAATTCCAATCTACCTTCCATTTCAAAAGGTCCCAACGAAGGTTTAAATAACCGCAACCGCTATAATAGCCTACATTAACCAAATATGTAGGGCACACTCGGAAATAAAGGGGAGGGGAATGGCGAGGGGTTAGTGGCATCGTTGTGCGGAGACTCCATACAGCCAGCACTCTCCCACCTCTGCCTTTAGCCTCCTTATGATTAACCCCTATAGGGACTAACAGATGAAGATGTGAAAGCAATTCTCGTTTTCCCTTGAGTCCTTCCCCTCCTCCTAGGCCAGTCCGCACAATGCCTCTGGAGAACACCATTGCCAAAATACTTCCTCCCATAAGTTAAAAGATGTTCTCAAAAGTAGAGCCAAAATAAGAAAATAGGAACTGTCAGTCATAAAAAGAGTGGTAGAGGATCGCTGACCAGACAAAATCGACGGAGCTCCCGAAAAGGTCGGTAGATGGAAAAAAGAGCATAGTGTCAGAAAAAAAGCGTCGCGTCCAAAAAAGGGGTCGTGGTAATGGGTTAGACCAAATGTGCTCGTATAATCAACGAAATTCGCATTCCAAAGCCTTTACAGTAATTCATGAAAATGGGGCCTACAGGGCAACGCAAAAGCACAAGCACATAAAGAACTCACGTGAAATGCAAACACGGCCGGCACGACAAGCATGACAAGCATTGCCTGAGTGGATGTGAGTGCCAACAGACGAGCATCGGTCATACCTGCGTAGGAGAACGCGCCGGCTAGACCTGCCATACCCGTGCCAGATGACCAAGTGGCTATCGTGTGCCTATAAACTGTTTTTTAACCTTTTAGGATGGAACATTCAGAAAATCTACAGCAAGCTGAAGACACCGAATGCGATCGAACTGATGTGTTGCTCTGCTCGAAAATGAACAACTGTTGCCAAGAGGGCCGTCAATTAAGAAAAAAGGCAAAAGGTAACACATGGAAAACTAGAATTGAAAACCTCATTTTCCTGATACACTATGACACGACAAAGAGACACAGCGCAGCGAGGAGAGGGAGTACGCGAGAGAGCTCGTCGTGCGAGAGGGCGCAGACAGGCCAGTGTTGTGAACGAGTGAAAAAGACAGCGGTCGCAGCAGTGAAGCAGGCAGGGTCCAGCACTCTTTCACTCGCGACAGTGCCACGCTTAAAAACCCCGCTACCACTCACGGAGAGGATCGCTCTAAGGCTTAGCAACCCTTCCGAAGGCTTCAGACTTCGGAAGGGTTGCTAAGACGTTTAATCGGGTAGTCATAAATTGTTTCGCCTCTTCAGGCCTCTCAAGAAGGCAATCCCGCCGAAACGTTAGCCCAATCAAGGTTATTTACCAACCTTACGTGGAGTTTCTAAGATACCAACAACTCGATCAGACTCAATTGCAACCCGTGCGTTCAAGGGTTCGCACAAGGAAGAAAACGTAGCCTCACAAAATTACAGTTCTACAAAACTTACTTCGAGTAGTGACCAGCTAGTCCGAGATACGTGGTTTCGCCGAACCCTCCTGCTACTGACGCCACGCAGACGCCGATGAGAGCAGCTGGGACGGATTCAGCGAATGCTGTCACCAATAGAGACGCCACCTGCAGGGAGCAGATAACGAAATGTCGAATTCTAAAGCAGGTTCAATACAATTCGACCCTTTGCAAGACCAATAACTCTTGTGATTTTCTTATTTCATACACCTTTCGTGGTCTTTCCACTCATTGTCAGACAGTACACTATCTATGGTTTTACTCACCCATAAGGAATCCGATGCATGACGAATGGACACATGAGTTTCACGAGAAGTGCTGGGAGGATGTTGCACAGCAGCACGACGCCAGCAGACGTCGGTGAGCAGATACGTGAAGTGATCGCCGGCTAAAAAAGTATGGAAACACTTCAGACAAGGCGAACTAGATAAGATAGTGGCACAGTGGGTGGGCGCACCAGCAGCAGGGTGGATCGACCAGTGTTTGGCACCTGTAAGGTTGTTTCTAGAGCTACAGCATTCTTCTAGATGGCAGCACATGTTCATTTTTATCTCCAAATGCCTTATTGGATATCAGTTGGGCTCTCGGTAGGCCTGCTGAAGTACAACGACGGTGATGTGATATGATATGTTCCAGCTGGAGAGGAGGTTCTATTCTCAACTCAGCACCTTCACCATATCCTCATCGTACCCTCCCAAGCAGATGGGCAAACCGATACCTTGGTATGGGTCCATTTGCTTGACCTGGTGGAATCTTCGTAAAGTTGAATGAGCCAGGGATGTCGATCCCTTGCATGGCGAGGAGCCGCCAGAGTATTGTCTACAGTATCATCCGCAGCAAATGTCAACGGTACCTCCAACCGCGGTATGGCCGATTCCAGACTTTGCGAATCGCGCGATTCGTTACTAGCGATTCGCGCAATTCGCTAGCGCCCACGGTCGCGTTGCGGTACCAGCCAATTGAGTGATTCACTGGCCGCGACGTGACCGCAGACGCTAGCGAATCGCGCGATTCGCAAAGTCTGACATCGGCCTATGTTTGCTGTGCGCCTTCTAACAGATAGTCGCGATGGGTACCTTTAGGGCCGGCCGTACACCCAATGCTAGTGATTTATTCCACCACTAGAGCCATTTTAACCAGCTCTTTCGCATCCCGGGCCCACGGTCTCGGTTTCTTTTTCTGGATGGAAAGTGGCTGACAGCATTTTTGGCTGACACTGGACATCCTCCCCTAAAGACAAGAATGGCCGGCAAGGAAGGCCCCGCTGAGCAATACAAGACTTTCGCCATGAGCTGAGCTACGGCAAATGGCGAGTCTGGTTTGTTATTTTCCGAGGGAAGGCGAGTACTGAACATGACCTACCACACAGAAATCGGTCACATTCTGCTCAAAGGGTGACCGCTCATGTCGATTAAGTATGTCCTGAGCAGCGCTTAACATCACACTGAATCCAAAATTATTGCACATACCGAAAATCCTGAAAACAGCAGCCATGTCGGATAGATTTATAAATAGAAAGCTTTAAAAAACAAATTTTGGCACTGTGAAACCTTTCCCATAATCTTTCCTTTCCTGATAAAATCCTTCTTTCCTATAATCCTTCTTCCATAGGAACAACAACGAGTCCCGAAATTGCCTTCCTTTCCGCGATTTATATAGAATGCCCTCAGCGTCGCAGAGAGCGCAGTGTTAATGGTACATGTGTTTTATCCAGGTCTGCTCTATGGGACAGAAAATAGAGCCCGTTTCACGCTGCTATTGCTGAGGGCGGGGCTTGAGGAAGGGGCGGAGTTTGCGGATATCGGAGTGCGTGAGTCATTTGCTTCCCAGCACAAATTTACACCTATTTTTTTTTACAAAAGGGTGGCTCATTCGGTAAAAAAAGAAGATTTGGCAAGCTTCTCTCTGAAGCGAGCGACACCTGACCTTTTTTGAGTTTTCTTGATCAGAGCCGAATCAGACTTACCAAGAATGTAGATCAATATTTCTAACATCAGGTCCCTAGTAGTATAATAAAAAAAATAAAAAACCTCTGCTATCGTACGTCATCGTAACTGATAAATCACAGCATCGTTACTGGGCTGCTAAAGTTTGGCATGTGAAAAAACAGACAGAAAAACGCCCTTGAACAATCCATGAGAAGTGTGATAAATTGAATGAAATGATGAAGAATATGACATATCGATGTGCAAGAAATGTGATGAAATTGAATGAAATGAATGAAGAAATATATAAAAAGCTAAACTCGTGCCAATCAAAAAAGTGTTGGCGGCCCTAATGACACATCACTCAATGAACTGACTGTCAGAATCTCATCCGCAGGTGAGAGGGACCAGGCCGCGTAAGGCAGGCGATCTGTCGCATCGACGGTAGCAACCAGTTTCGCCCAATAGCAAAAACAACGGGAATGGCTAATAAAACAAACATACCACCAGTAAAAACCAGAAAAATACAAATTATATATTGATGCAAAAGAAACAGGCCCTATCGCAATATACGGGGTATCCTCTAGGACTTAGCCTGGGAGGAGCAGGAGCTCTGAAGGAACTGAAACTGGCTCACACAAGTTAGAGTCTCTCCTCCCCGCGGAAGTGCTATTCCCATTTTTACCAAAAAAGACGTTTAGAGGTTTCAAGTACGCTGCCGCCACAATGCCCCGTATATTGTGATAGCGCCATAGAAACTTATTGCAAAGGAATAGAGCGGAAGCCAAAAAACTCTGTTAGGTACCACCTTTTTGAAATCAGGCAGTGACAATTTGAGAGTGTCATCACCTTAAGCACCCAAGTGCTCTATTGAAGAGATCACTGAAGCTGGCTAGGCTTAGTCCTGCTTCTCGGAAAATTGAACTGGAATTTTGCCCTCCGATTTTAAATTCAGAGCGAAAAAGTTAGCAGAGAGGTGATTACCAGAATTGGATGGTAGGAGTTGCCGTCTCCTTTTGAAAGCATTCCTGATTTTCGCTTCGCTTTCGTTAGGTATTTAGATGGGAATGGGAATAGAACTAGGGTGCGTGGCGAGCCAAAAACCAGCCATCTGAGCCAAAAAACTACGCCTTCTCAATTATATAGCGTTTCAACACGTGAACCTTGTACTTTGAAATCCGCAGATGAGCTGATCTATCAAACTGGAAACATAGAGGTGTTCGAGCGATTATGGGCTCAAAACGACCTAATCCCGAAATATCTCCATGATCGCTGCTTATGTTTAGCAAAAACTAGGCTACTATTACGAACGGACTAGCGATCTGCATGTATTCTTTATGCAGCCCTATTTTATATGGAATTATGCACATTGTATTGTTCATTAGGCGAATTCCAAGCTAAGCAAGTGAACAGAGTCATTCCTAAAGGAACTTCATAGAAATCATCGTCAAGGGCGTCGTCCGAAGCCATCAACGTTAACCTAACCATCAAAATCAATGGAGACCATTCGCTTGTCACTAACTGTAGGTGGAGGTGGACTGCATCAAAACCTTCTATAGGTGCCTAGCAGGATAGGCTGTGTTCAGCACCCCAATCTACGCCACTTTAATAAGCCTACTCAATCACCTGAGCGATTTCAAACGGCAGACGTGCGCATGGCGCACACCGAACTGTATCGAATGGCAGTAAATTTCGCTTTCCGTCATTTATTTGGAGAAGCCATCTCACCAGATTATTATTATAGGTATAAGCATAATAACCAAAGGGCACCGTATCCATATCGGTTAAGATACCAAGTAACCAAGTAAGGTGTTGAAACAATTTCAGCCAGTGATGTGGTTCATTTATAGCCAACAGCCAATAATAATAAATTTGTATCCATCTGATTGTGATCATAAATAGCAGGGGCGGAGCTTTCGGCCCAAGTGATCTTTGTCGTGGTCACACGACGACGATGTCATGGAAAGATGGCGAGATGTCGTCGTGGGGACTCAAACGACTCAAACTCGCTCTGGTTCAGGTTACACACAAAACACACAGCAGAACAGTCGGAAGGTGGGGTTGTAAACCATCGCCTTAGCTTAATTCTCTCTTGAGAAAAATATTTTATTAAATTTATATGATAAAGGGCGGAAGTGGTGTAGTGACAAGTGGCGCGCTCACCACGCGAGCGGTCCGGGGATCAAATCCTGGGTCGTGAGTCGCCCGGGCCAACCAAGCCTTCCATCCCTCCGGGGTCGGTTAATTGGTACCAGACTTGTCTGGGAGGATAAAAACACTGACTTGTACATCGGCTGGCCCCCGCAAGTCATTGTATAGGCCACATCGCATTCAAACGCCACTACGAATGTACAAATGGAAGTAGAATGCGTGCCGCATCCCAAAAAGGGATTGATCAACGGCAAATGCTTTATCCTTTTTTATCCCTAAAGCGTTGTCATAAAGTATGTATCACAAGGTGCTATTGTAGAGGGATATTCAAGGGGGGGGAGGAAACTATAAATAGCTCAATGCTTAGGAGGGGTAAGATTGCGCTAGCGTTATCCTTAATCGAGGCGTAGTGACTATCCGGATTGTCGGTCTGAGCCTGACGCTAGTAATAGACCCTATTCTTCGCGCGGCATGACTTCTGTCGCGGCGGAGATCGAACCCAAGGTCGTCAAAGGTGCATTACATTACACTCGTAACTATGTGGCTATCCCTGTCTGCACCCCAAGAGTAACATAATGACCCATCTCGCTTCAATTAGCCTTTTGATGACAATAATTGCCACTATTTTCAACGTGTCCCGGGGACGTGGGACTACGCCCTCTATTCGGCGCTCAACTGCTACCAAACGTTGGGTGACATCGCTGGCAGACGGCTATTTTATATTAGGAACCAACATGGGAGATCCTAGAAAGTGCAGGTGAGGCAGTAGCAGCAGATAATACTTCCAGACTTCGACTTAGGCCGTTTCCTCGGTAGTTCGAACTCCGCAACCGAGGAGTCCCATTGTGTGAGGATGGCTATTTTGCACCTACATGGGTTTGAAAGGATAGACCTGCGTCACCCTATGCGGGCAGACAAGGCTCAGGACAAAGACCTTTGGATACGGTTCAGGGCGCCTGCAACGTTTACCGGCAGATTAACAATCAAAACAATTGAAAATACTGCCATTGTTGTCGGACCACATATCGACACCGCTTAGCAGCCGACACAAACAATTTCATGCGATGCAGCGACAGTGCAAATAACACAATGAGACTCTCGAAATCCCAGGGTTCACGCCAGCCGTGTCGGTTTTGACCCAAAAACAGAGAATTTGGATGATGCTATTTGGCTCAGCAGAACTTAGAACTTAGAACAGAACTGCATCGATTACAGGAGTCTGAAAGACTAAGTCTCTACAATGCGCCCTGAAATTGCAAGTAGCCATAAACGCCTTCTGAAGAGAAATGAAATGTGGCTCGAATGTTCCGGCTAATTTGAAGGGCTTAGTGGAGAAATGGCAGTAACTGGATTCGTCCTTACCGCACAGTCACATGTTCGCATCCCAGACCGAACAAAAGCTTCTAGGTCAGCAAAAACCTAAAAATCATGACCACTTGGAAATCTGGAACACTTTAAGCATCGTGTGGACCAACGCGCCTCCGATAGGCCGATGTCATGGTGGTATCCGGAGCCACTACCCCGGCGCTGTGCCTCACAGGAGAGGTCGCACTCAGCAGAGAGTCTCTCATCAGTGTGCGCTGGCATCATCAACTTTTCCTTTCTTCTCCCTTTTCTCGTGTCTTCTCCTAACAACTGGTAAATAACTCACCTTTATGATCTCCTGAGACACGCTTCACCCTTCAATACATAGGTTACTTTTACTGGTCCTTGCGGCGAGGGGAGGGGGAGGGCACGGAAGATCACTTTTCGCCTGGGCGAATCATTCAAACCTTGGTCGTCCGTGCCCGCATGTTGTGTTGAAAGTTTCACGAGCAAATCTCCCCCTCATAGCAGAAGAGGCCCGTTTCATTGCCCTCACTGTCCCTAAAATATGAGGCCATCCGCCACCACCGTCGAGCTCAAGAGGGGCTACCGTAATCTTTTCAATATAAAGCGGCATCGTACTTTTTTTGATCGCCAACTGATGAATCGCTAGAGACACCAAATCCAACTATGCAACCTTCGCAATCGGTCAGATGAAGCCAGGATCCGTAGAGGACCTTGGGTAGTTTGACCTGCTGCGTCATGTTTATGTGGCAAAATTTTCCGAAGTCGTCGGGGTAAGAAGGGTCATATGAAGTTTTCTGGTAAAAAACGAATGCGCTCTTTAATGTTCAGTTGGGTTCATTCTGAAGGTTAGTGATTTTTTGCCGTAAAAGTGATAACAAAGTGATAAGACTTGGTAAAGGGTGTTAGGATGCAATGCCTTCAGTTCCGCTATGTCGTCTACGTCGACAGCAGAATACTCGCATAATGAGAGGTGGGACAGAGAGGCAAATGGTGGATGATAGCAACTGATAGGGAGTTATAGGCACGAATAAAATGCGTTGGAGCATGAGTGGCACTAAA